TTCTTTTTGTATCTTCCATGTCTGGATCTGCTTCTGGAGTGAAGGGAACTTCCCCAGAGGCAAGAGCTTAGCAGAGCTGACCTCTGCTGGCTCTCAGATTTCACTGGAAATCTATTGCGTCCCTTTGTTTGCCTCCAAGGCATTGAGTGGCAGACTTAGTGAGCAGAAGGCTGGCCTCTGTTCCCACTCACCTGTCAGGCTGGACCCCTTGGCCTGTTCACCTCCTACCTCCAAGCCTCAGTTTCCTTCTCTGAGATCTCAGAAGTCTCTGTGATCCTTTGTCATCCTAGAGACCCTGAGGAAGTTGCTCAAGGAGAAATGAAGATGGAGGAGATGGGACTCAGGTGGGCTGGCTTACTAGGGTGTTCCTGCTTGGGGCCTTGTTTCTTTCCTGGTGGAATGTCCACCTCTTGGCCCCTTGGCCCCTGGGCCCCAGGCCGGGTTTTTGCACCCGGATCTCTCCCATCCACAGAACTCTGCCCTGGCTGTCTCGCACCTTACGCCCTGCCCCAGCACAGGCTGTAGCTTCAGGATCAGGGTCAGGATGTGTGTCCACCCTGCCTGGGACCCAGGTGGACCTGCTCCCTCCTTTACCCTCATCTGTTTGATTGACATAATCCCACATCTGTGTTCTCTTTTTCTGCCTTGCTTTCTCCAATCCTTTTTTCTTCTTTCTCTCCCTTACTGAAGCTTCAGGGATGGGGTAGAAGGAGCAGGGAAGTTGGCAGAGAGATAAGATTCATCAATATTTAATTTTTATGGAAATCATGTCCTAGAAATCCCCCAGGGGCTGAAAATTGTCCTGTGTTTTCAGAAGCCAGTGATGTTGCTGAAGTGGTTATGTTGTAAATAAAACCACATTACTGTCTGCAGCCCTCCCGTCGTTCTGCAAACACCAGAAACTTGACAGTTTAATCCACTCAAGGAGGAAAAAAGGTTCGGTGCACTCGGGGGGGGGGGGAGCAGCCCATTCTCCAGCCCTGGGATATAAGATTGGAGGATATCAGCATCAGCAGTGCTGTTACCACTGGGGGTGGGGAGGCGCCAGAGCCTGAGCCCTGAGCAGACCTACCCCATGGGTGGAATTTTCTCCCTGAACAGAAATCCCAGGACTGCAGAGCTCCCCTGGGGTTCCCAGTGTTGGGGAGGGTTTGCTTACATGTAGAAACATTTCTTCTGCTTCATGCCCAGTGATGCAGTTGGCTAAATGTCCAGCAGAAGAATCACACCCAAGTTTTTGGGGGGCTGGGATCCAAAAAACAGTCCTTCATTCAGTCATTAATCAGACATTTATTGAGCGTCTGCCATGTGCTAGACCCTGTTCCAGGTATTGCAGATACAACAAAACACACAAAATACACAGAAAGTCCTGCCTGTATTCTCACGGATAGAGGGGGGACAATCAATCAGATAAATACGTAAAATATATCCTATGCTGTATGGTGTCAAGTAGAGAAAACAGAAGCAAGAATCGTAGGTGTTTACCCATGAGAAATGAAACGTTTATGCCTTAAAAGTCTCAGACAGCATGTCCAGAGCAGCCTTATTCACGATCGCTAAGAACTGGAAACAACCCAGAAGTCCTCTAATGAGCATCAACACACGGGCACATCACACACAGAATACTACATAGCGATAAAAAGGAATGTTCTGCTGATGCCTCAAACAACATGGATGGCTTTAGCCAATATTCTCCTGAGTGAAAGAAGCCAGGCACACAAAAATAAGTACCACGTCATTCTATTTATATGACATTCTAGCATAGACAGAACTTATCTGTGATGACAGAAAGTGGAATAGAAATCACAGAGAGACTCCAGATCAGTTTCTTTGGGGAAGGAAGGGACTGTGGGGGGCAGAGGAACCTCACGTGCCATGGAAATGCTGAACACCTTGAGGTGCACTCATCAGAATCTCAAATGCTACACCTGGTATTGGAGCATTTATCCGGGGCAGTTATATTTCAATTAAGCAAAATTAGAAAGCATAGCTAGGGAATAGGGTGTATTGGTGAAGAGGAGAAGAGTGTTACAACTTGAAACGGGGTGGGCAGGGAAGCCTCACAGAAAAAGTGACTTGTAGAAAGGAGAAGAGAGAGAGCCGTGAGGGCATCTGGGGGAAGAGCATTCCAGGTGAGGGAACAGTGAGTGCAGAGGCCCTGAGGTGGGAGTGTGACTAGAATGCTCCAGGATTGGCACAAGCTGCCATGACAAAGTACCACAGACCAGATGGCTCAAACAACAGTTCTGGTGGCTGGAAGTCCAAGATCAGGGTGTCAGCAGGTCTGCAGAAGGCACCTTCTTGCTGTGTCCCCATATGGTTGTCCCTATCCTTACTTCCTCCTCTGTTTTTAAAAATAATTTGCCAGAGGATATGCGCACTTGCCAGAGAGAGACAGAAAGAGAGAGAAGGAGAGGAGATAGGGAGGAGAAGTCAGAACCCTCCATGGAATGTGGTCATGCTGCAATCCCTTCTCCATTCCTCCACCCCGCCGGGATTTGGGCCACACATGCACATGGGCCTGGTGTGTTTTTAGGGCCAGGATTTGAACCATGCAGTTGACCATGTGGGATGTGGCTTCCTTAACTATCATGCCACAAGGCTGGCTCACCTCTTCTTATAAGGACACTGGTCTTAGTGCCTACCCTACTGGTCTTGTTTTAACTGAGTTATCACTGCAAAGATGGTGAAGGCTTCGATATGTGTTGTGCAAGACACAATTCAGTTCATAACAGGATGTGCACAGAAGTGCCAGAGACACAGACCCACGTGAGGGCAGTGTGCTCTCAGCTTGTGCCATGGGTGTCCAGGCTGTTGGTTTCTGCTGTTCCCTGTGTTGCTGGTGTTGATATAGGACAAGGGGAGGTGAGAGCTTTGAGATAGGATGCATGGATTCTGGAGGCCGGAGAGCGCAGCTCTTCAGATGACTTTTCACAAACTCTCGTCAGCAAAAACTCGCTTGCAGAAAAGCCAGCAGTGCCCTGGCTGGGGGTCAGGCACAGATCTGGCTTTCTGTGAAGGAGCAGCAGGGAAGTGTGGAGGATAGAGCCTGGTGTGGGTACTGATGGGGCTCCTTAGCCTTCTGGCCACTGATCAGCAGTGCCTTTTTAGCTTGAAGGATGAGGGAGGTAGGGAGAGGTTTTTGCGGGGCTGCAAGGTGCTCAGAAGAGCCTGTCTGTGCTTAGGAGCACAGCCTGACACGGGGGTGGGAGCAACGTCCAGTAGCATTTTCTCCCACTCTGCCCAAGACCCCTACCTTTCCTCCCCATCTTCCCAGGCTCTACACCTCCCTCCTTTGGTGGGGACACTGCCTATTGGCTTTTACGAGTACCCAGATCCTCTGCTTTACCAAACCATGCTCAGAAAATGCTATTGATTTTCTTTTATTTATTTATTTATGAGATTCTTTTGCTGTGGGCAAAAAATAAAAAGGTTTATGCAGCATTTCCCTTAGCAGTGAGGAGTTTCCACCGCCCACTCCCTTGCACACACTCTCACAGACTACGCTCTCATCTCTCAGCGCTCCAGGAGGCTCGGCATCTCCCAGTTGTAAAACACAGGGAGGGTAGAGATGCACTGTGGGGTAAAGGTCCCGCCCGCCTAGTGCCTGTGACACAGTAGGTGTTCAAAAAATTTATGTGGAAGAGGTGAGTGGATTTTTTTTTTTTTTGGAGAGGTTTTTGCTATAGGGTGTGTGCACTCTCCAGAAGAGAGACAGAAAGTGAGAAATCACCCCCGGGGGGGATGGCCACACCACAATCCCTTCTCCTCTGTTCTCCTCTCGGAATCTTGAGCACACACGCACATGCGCCCAGCATGAGTTTTAAGCCACCAGGTCCAGGACACGAACCGCGGTCGACTACATGGGAGTCCAGCTACATAGCCATTATGCCAACTGCTGGTCCCGAGTGAATGTGTTTTTGAGCAAGCCATGGCTGGTGCCTGAAGGGGTGGGAGGCCAAGGATGGCCTATCCCTACTGCAGGCCACGCACAGCTCTGGGCAGCATGGACCCATCTCTTTTAGCCCTCATCATAAATGTACAAAGCTTTTATATGATTTTTTTTCAGTGATGAAGTTCAGAGAGGTAAGCACCTTATCCAAGATTGCCCAGCAGGTGAGCTGGAACTCACATTCAGGTCTTCAGATGCCAGTGCCCCAGCTCTCTCCACCATACAGTGTGGCCAAGCCAAATGGGTGCCAAAGCCCACTCACAAGACTGCCAGCAGCTGCTTGGTCCGTGGAGAAAGGCACCTTCCTGCTGCTAACCCTGGCAGGGCATCCCCATGAGGCTGAGCACCTTGGGTGTATATAAGATCTGCTCTTCCATCTTAGGAAAGATGACTGGTGGGAGTCTGGCCCACCCTGCTCTGAGCTTCAGGCAGAAAGTTTGGCTCTGCTCTCTTTTCAGGGAGATGGCTGGTCAGGGAGGGCCGGAGGGTTTCCAGTCCTCCCTCAGGGCCCGAGTTCTGTAGTTCTCTGTGTTAATAGTGCAGCCCTTGATTCCCTGAGTTGCCCTGTGTGGGCTTCCCGTCCTGGAAT